CCAATCACAGGACAGACACCGATCTGCACTGTCATCTGTATACAGAGGAACTATAATTGGTAAATGTTCTGCATTTGCAGAGCACAAGCTTGCAGAGTTTTCTCAAGGAGAAACTTAATTGCAATCTTGATGAAATGAAACTGATTATTTGAAGAAAGAGCGACTCGTCCTTGTTTTCAAGTTGATGGTTTAAAAAAAAAAAAAAAAAACGTTATCCTCTGGGCTAGCTTTCATATTAGCTTCAGGCTTGTTGAAGTTGGCTAAATCCAAAATCTGTCTACACAGGTTTTATCAAATTGTTCTTGAAATGAAATGGATACAGAATCAGAAACGCTGTGGTCCAGATTTTAACTGGATCACACTGAATTCACTGTGAATGAAAATACTGTAAACGTAAACCAAACTAAAATCAGAGAATAAGAAAGTTAGAAACACAGCCTTCAAGAGAAAAAGTGTCGTGTCTTGATCTCCTTTAAGGCCTGCCGTCCGATTGTAGATTTTTGGGAAGTGAAACAGCTGCTTCAGTGTATTCATACTGATGGATGCAGCTTTCAGTGGTGAGAAAGAACAGGGGCCTCATGTATAAGGCATGCCTACGCACAAAACAGCACCCTATTTTACACACAAGATGGCATATATAAAATGTACTTTGCGTCAAAGTTTGCATAAATATACGCAAACCTTTCCTATGAACAATATCAATATATAAAGCACACAGTGAATCTGACTACACTCAGTTATTTTTGACCAAAAAGCATCAAATCTGATATTTTTTTCATGGTTTTAATAGTTTAACACAATGAATCTGAACCACACCTATACTCCGTGAATAAGCTGACATGCACACAAAATAAAGAAAACAAAAATAAAAGGATGTGAAAACCTCATTAGAATGTAAATAATGTTCCTCAGGTTTTGTTTCACAAAGATGTAACGCATTGATCTGTGCGCCAAAGCACCTGGAATGCATCTATGAGGTAATTTAATTCTGACTGAAAAAAGAAAACAGGGTTGGATCAGCAGATGAACTCCAAACAGATTTGATTATTTTTAAGGTCATGAAAGTGTGTATCATCACTCATAGTGGCTGCGCAAAGGTGAGCCACGTAACTGGAGCGCTTTGGCTCTGGTGGAAAACATCGCCAATGGAAGGATTCAGAGGGAGCGACTGATCATATTGATCT